CCCCCCTACAAAAAAAAATCACTAGAGGCAAGAGCAAGTAAATTAACATTCTAACATCTTAATAAGAATATGTAAAATAAGTCCAACATAAATTCTCAAAGCAACAGAAAAACAGTGCTCATATATCTCTCATTCCCTAAATTCTCCTAACTAAGGAGAAAAGAAGTAGAAACCGCTAACTTATCTGTCATATAATCTTCAAATATATACCATAACATATGCATTTATAGTGTTATAAATCTTTAAAAAAAAACTAAAATTTCTCATCGCAATATGTTCCTATTGAGACAAGAGCAATTAAATTGTCATTTGAACATGAACATATAAAACAAGCTCAACATAAATTCTCATAGAAACAGAAAAATAGTGCTCATGTATCTCTTCTTCTTGAATGAGCCTTTTTTTTAAATCAAGCATAGGAAAACCGAAAACGAAGGCCACTGATAACAGAGAAACTATTCTATATAAAGCACTTAAGCAGCCCTGTGTTTGGACTTATAGTAATATGCTACCACGTTGAGGTTATTGAGAGGTTATTAAAGTGAAACTGAGGAAATTATTAGGGAGTTATTGCGAGTTATTATGAGGTTATTGCCAGAGTTATGCAGAGAGTAGAGATTATTGGGGTTATTGGGTGTTATTATGAAATTATTGTAGAGTACAAAGCGTGTAGGAGATTATTGAGAGATTATTATGAAGCTATTAGAATTAATTTTCCATAGAAGCCCCCCTCCGTTTACGCTTGTGTCGAACATTGCCACATTCTGGGGATGAGAAGTTGAAGAAATGAGCTCCCAAAAGCGTCTTGAGTCTCAAACGCTTAGAGGGAAAATATTTATGTGCATAAGCGTACGCAGCGCTGCGTACCTCCAGGGGTTATTCAAGGGATACAGGGGGGTTCTATTCAGGTTATACCCCTCTATAACCTCCGTGTAACTCCCTTGTAACTTCCGTATAACTTATTTGTACTCATGAAACTATAGAAGCGCGAAACTCATTTATAGGTTACAGGTAGTTTACAAAGAGATTACATGGGATTACAGAGGAATATAACCCCGATATAACCCCCTATATCCCGTGAATAACCCCTAGAGTGCGTGCCTCTTATGTAACACTTAAATATTTTCCATTGAACGGAGGCGAGACGTCCTCTCAAAGGAGACCTACATCTCTCATTTAGCCCAGATCTAATTCTGCAGCCGGTCCGCGGGTACTCGGCTATGTTTCCGGTGCATCATGAAGCGGTGCGGGTTGCAGAAATCTCCATTGCAGTTGTACCCTCGGTGAGTCTGTTCTGTGCTTAGACCACCGATATCATGGTCGGTCGCTCGAGCCAACTAGAGGGCCATACGAGTTCCTTCTCAAGAATTTTGTTACCTCCCCTCCTCTTTCTACTGCAGAAGAGCAAAACTCTCACTCGGGGTTCTCTGCCGCGATATGCCCGCACCCACATTCGTAGCTTGCTCTAATCTCCACATCTAGCCTGCTGCCGATTCATGGCCCGTTTTGTTAGCAAAAGTGCATCCAGGAGGTATCTGGTCTTACTCTTCTTGATCGCTCTTTTTGGGGTTGTTTTAATAGCAAATTTTCTCTGGGCTACTTCTTCATCTTCTGCCTCATCGCCTAATTGGTATACGAACTTGAATTTGACTTTGAAGAGTAATGCCGGTGCTTCTGCTGTAAAAAATACCGAGACGGTAAGTGTCTCAAGCATTCTGTTTTAGTGTTGGTTTGAAAACTAGTGTTTCAGTTCTTCTTTCGCAGTCTTGAACTGGCATTTCTTTCATAGGCTTGAACTTGTGTTTCTTTTGTGAACTTGAACCATATTAAATTTTGCTTTAACATATCATTTATTATTGCTAATATTTTATTTAAGAAAAAAGATTGGTATATTATTGCTTATTAGAATGAATCTAATAAAATACAAATTGATTGATTTCTTATGAGAAAAATATATTGATGAGAATCTAAATATTGTAATATCGTTCCAAGTGAGAATTTAAGTACTCAATATCGATTATTAGTTTTACATTTTAAGATGAGAACTGTAAAATAAAAAAAATATAATGAAACATTATCATAAAATTTGATGGGGTCACCTTAAATACACAAATAAAACTATATTTATACGTTAACTTCAATATTTTAAAATTTGGGATGTTCATGAATAAGTTAATTTTATGTGAGATAACATAATAAGCACTACTAAACAAGTGACAAAAGATATATATGGAGAATTAAAAGGAAAAAAAAAGTATAAATAAAAATAGTTTGTGGTGAAATAATAATGTACAAGAAAAGATAAAATATAAGAAGTTATGTTATAAAAATTGACTTAAATGTAAAAGCATAATTAACTTGGAAAAACATATGATGACCTGTAGGGAGTCTAAAAGAATAATTTGTAATGCTAAAAATTCATTTTTTAACGGTCTTTGTAATATATTGGGTACTAATCAAAGTGAAAAATATATGTATAAACTAGTCAAACAAAAGAGAAAAGAAAAGTAAATATTTTGTTCAAGTAAAGTGCATTAAAGATGAAAATCAAAAAGTGATTTTCTTAGAGGAAGATTTCAACATAGGTGGGTGAGCTATTTTGATAAACATTCAATTAGGTTTTTAAAAATACGATCGAACTTAGTGATCTTAATATCGTCAATAATAATCAATTATTTTATTTTTATCACCACATTAGTAAAAAAGAAGTTGAAGAGAGTTTAAAGAAAATCAAGGGTGGAAATCCGTAGCATTCAATGATATTCCAATTGAAGTGTATAAATATTTAGGAGATTTGAGAGTTTCTCGAGTGACTGAACTCTTTAATACTATTTTAAAACTAAAAAGATACCCAAGAAGTGGAGGAAGAGTATTTTGATCCCATTTTTAAGAATAAAGGGGATGGACAAGAGTTCGCAACTTATAGATAAATTAAGTATATGTGTCATACTTTAAAACAATGGGAGGGGGTAATTGAACATAGGTTAAGACATGATAAAAAGATTTCTCATAATTAGTTTGGATTTATAACCGGCAGGTCTACCATAGAAGCTATACATTTATTGAGAGGTTTGATGGAGAAATGCATAGAGAGTAAGGAGGATCTACATATAATTTTTAGTGAGTTAGAAAAAGCTTACAGTAAGGTTCTAAGAGAAGTTCTTTGGAGAGTTCTAGAGAGGAAAATTATTGATATGCCTTATATTCGAGTCATTAAAGATATGTATACTAAAGTTATTACTTGTGTTCGAACAAAAGGAGGATTGACCAAGCATTTCCCTATTTTCGTTGGTTTGACTTTTAGACCGGTTAGGATGGCCATTCTTATTTTAATTTAGGGATAGTTTTCTATGTTTTTTCTCTAAACTCTTCTATTTATAAAATTAACACTCAATCACTTTCATTTGTAATACAATCACCGGAGTCTCAACGTGCACCACAAAACTCCAATGCATATTTTTTGCTTTTGTGAAAATCTCAATGTGTTTAGTAGCATGCCCAAATACATGGATTTGATAGTTCATTTTTTTGGCTGGGCGTTAATTAAATAGTTATGTTTTACATGGTATGCGTGTAAATTTTTTTAATGTATTGAATGCTTATTCTTAATATAAATTTGATTTTTTTCTTTCTCTTATATTCTTCTATATTAATGCCTTTGTGGTATGTTTTTGGAATAAAAGAATTGATTTTTCAATTTGCTTTATAAGCCTATTTATGTTATTCTTTTGTATGTCCTAGATATCTCATTTGCTTTTAAACATTACTGTCAAAATGCTTCATTTTCATCCAACTGGCTCGTCCCTATTTTAAAGATATTATTAAAATTATTTGGTAAGCAAATCATTCTAAAGTCTTCATAGCAATCAAAGCTTTAACAATTATGCTAGTTAAATTTAATGATTTATACTTCATGCATCTTAATTGAAACAGATTCAACTTTCATAGATTAATCTACTGTGTCATGATTCAATTTATATTTCTCTTTAAGCAAAATTTCTTGCTTAAAACTATAATTTGAAAACATTTCAACATATAAGTTCTTTCTATTTCCTGACATATATATATATTATATATATATATATGATAATCTCTTTTTAACTCGTCAATGCACCAATGCTTTTAGTTGTGAGCAATCTTTTCTGGACTCTTCTTAACTTTCTATGATGATGTTTATAATGCAACAAGTGAATTATGAAATGGCATCCTCAACATATGGAGTTTCTAGAGAATTTTTTGAAATTTGTAATGTTCTGACACACTTGTCATTGTGGCAACTATAGTATTGGCCATGCCAGCAATCTCAATTTGACATAGTTTTAGGGCTGAAAAATTAAACTGTATTGTTGGATGTTTTTTTGGTTAATTGCCACCTAGAGTCCCATAAAATCTTAATAATTGATAATAAATCTTTTGTTCTTTGAAATCTTAATCTTGTAATTATTAGATACCAATTTTACTCAAATAATTGCTATGTTGATGATGGCCAAATTGATTAGAAAAAGAAAATAATTTGGAATCAATAGTAATTATTTTATGTAAGAAATGCTATCTTTACAAAAAATAGAACTCTACCCATAAGTAGCAATGGAAAAGTTGCATTTGTTTTGATGTTTTGCTGCTGTTTGAATGACAATGAGCCACATTCCCAAAATCTCTGCATCACTGTTTTTTGTTGCATCACTGTTTTTTGTTTTTGTTTTTTTTTTTTTGTTTGAATGACACCAAATCACATCCCCAAAATCCCATGTCTTAACAGAAAAATTTTCCCTGAATTTACTGCTATTTTTTGGGTTTCTGGACCAGGGAAAGAAGAATAGTGGGGTGATGGAAGGTCAAAATCTGAATACGTTCAATGCAACTTTTGCTGATATACCTGCACCACAATTAGAGTGGGAGGAGATGGCAGAAGCACCGGTACCTCGCCTTGATGGGGCTGCTATACAGATTAAAGATCTACTGTACGTTTTTGCTGGATATGGCACCATTAATTATGTAAGTGGACTATCAAAATAACTTCATTGCAGACAAGTAAATCAATTAGTTTAATGCAATCTCTACATCTTATTGAATAGTTGGTAATGACTTCTTAGGTATCATTTAGTATTTTGATTGAGTTGTATTAAGGTTGGAAATTAGCTCATATCATAAGTTAAATTAATCGACATCAGCGCAAATGTGTACTTCCTCGATTTATTAATTTATCACTTTCTTGACTTGACAGCAATTTCATTCCAGGATTCTGATGCAAGTCTAATTCATGTCATAAAGTAAAATTAATTGACCTTAACAACAAATTTTACATCCTTTTCCCTTCATTTCTTACATCTTTTTTTTTTTTACTTGGACGATCAATTCTTTCTACGCAAGAGCACATTTTATAGTTTTCCTGATGTAAACTAACTCATTTCAAAGTTAAAATTAAATTACTTTTATTACATTTCCTTACAACCTCTTCTCTTCATTGCATAAATCATTTTCTTACTTTAACAATAACTTCTTTCCTTGCACAATGTGGTGCAGGATGTATAGGGTTTCCTGATGCAAACTAATGCTATGAGATGGCATGCAATGCTATTAAATTAATTCAAGTAAAAGTTTCGAATTAATGTGCAAGCAGTCTAATGTTCAGAGATTCACAGATAAGTGTGTATTTGCAATAAAGCAAACTGTCTTGGATGAAAAGTTTTTGACTGCCAGTTATAACTATTGAAAACAAAAGTGTGAATAAGGAATCTCTTAAGAATTTGAGATCATATATAGAAACACAATTGATTAAGGTTTAAATGATAGATAAAATTCTAGATAAAGTTTTCTGATTAGAGCCAAGCAAGGGAGGGAGGAACCTATACTTGAGTACACTGTAAGGCTCAGTGGATTCATCTTTGGATTTTGCACTTTCATATATGAGAGTTAAAAGTTGAGGCGTGGAAACCTGATTTTTGAAGTATATATCGAGACCATGAGAGTATTTGAAGGACAGACTTCTTGTTTAAGATGGAATATCTTTTAGAAATTGTGTTATTGAAAAATTCTTCATGCACATCCTTTCTTTTTTCATTTTTTAAAATGCAGATACAAATTCTACCATATCCAGCTTTCTCTATTTCACAAAAAGACCAGTTACTTAAGCTCTTTTTAATTCACATTTCAATCCTTTTTCTTGGATGGAATTCTTATAGGAGAGTTCTTATGGAAAAGCTTGGTGGAAGTTCGCTATAAAGGTTTTCTATTTTATAAATCTAAAACCTTTTCACAGTAATAAATTTCATGTTTGAAAACAATCCCTACGTCTGTCTTCATTTTCAATATGACATTCCCATTCAATTCTCTCTATTACATAGTATTTGGTTTTTCCTATGATAACTTTAGTGCTTCTTTCTGTTTAACATCCTTGTTTGCAGGTGCACTCGCATGTGGATATCTATAATTTTACGGACAATACATGGGTAGGAAAGTTTGACATGCCAAAGGAAATGGCACATTCACATTTAGGTATGGCGACAGATGGAAGACACATATATATAGTCACAGGGCAATATGGACCACAGTGTCGAGGGCCTACAACTCACAATTTTGTGCTTGATACAGAAACAAAAACATGGCATGATTTGCCCCCTTTACCTTTTCCTAGGTATGTACTGCTTTAGATGGGACATTTTTCTTATTTATTCATTTTTCTTTAATACTTCTTTTCTTAATCTCTATTGGGCTGAGTTGTTTTATGAGCATTTCTATGCATTTCGGAAATAAAGTTTTTTTCAAAATTATCTGAAAGCTACAACTTATTTTTCTCCTATTAGCTTTGTCTTTGCTTTTTATTTTTGGTTCTCTTGCATCTTTTGCCCTTTGATTTCATCCATTCATGGACTCTTTCTTTCTCATATTTGAGCTTTTAAATTCCTCTTTCCATTTGTCTGCCAACTCTTACACTTCTCATAACAATCGTTTCTTTTTTGAGCGTTAAATGTTGTCTTTGGGGAGCTTTTTTTTTCCGTCTTTATGATTCATTAGAATCTCATTTACCCTTTTGCAAAGCAATAATGATTCTTCTGTTGATTCTTAGATATGCGCCAGCCACCCAACTTTGGAGAGGAAGGCTTCATGTTATGGGAGGCAGCAAGGAGGATCGCCATGAGCCTGCATTGGAACATTGGAGCCTTCCAGTGAAGGATGGCAAAGCTCTGGAAAAAGAATGGCGTACTGAGATACCAATACCTCGTGGTGGTCCCCATAGGTTTGTTGATAACAGGATTTTGAGAGTACATTTATTCATTCTCATGCGTTTAATCTTGTTTTCATATTTTGCCAAAAATTTTTGACGTCTTCATGTTGCTTTAAGTTGCCAATATACTGGAATAAAAATGAGTAATATCACATCTAAACTTTGTAAAGCCTTAACTAACTATCTGAAAATTTTTAAGTTCAGCACACCAAAATCTTTTGATTATAGCACTTAAAAAAATACTTGCTTTGCAGAGTTCTCTAGTTGTCTGCAATTCTATACATCAGAACGCGTATAAATAATAAGGAAGAAAAACTGCTGTAATGTAGTAGTATATCGGTAACATTTTTAAGTTGGAAATATGGGTGTACATGAAGAATATTGTATGGTAGACTTTTAGAATCACAATCAGCAAATATGCAACATATTAAGTCTTAATGATATTGGTGCTAAAAAGCAACTAGATCCGTAACTAATAAAGAGGAAATTTTACCATATTTTAGTATTATATCTGGTATCTTTATATCTTTTGGAGAAACTATCTTTATTTCATGTGGAACATAACATGGAGAATATTATGCTGGAGAAGTTTATGACGCTTAGCAAAAGGGGTAATAGAATAATTCTTAGTTATATTTGGGTTATAATAATCAAATTTGTACAGTACTTTCTTGTGTTGCGTGAATGGAGTTACAGCTAAATTTTGTGAATATTACTAAATGTCATATAGTTTAATTAAGGAAAAAAATTAGTTTGAAATCCATCTGATGGAATGGCTTGGCGGTGTTGTTTTTGTGGAAGACTGGTTTCCTCTTCCTTATAATGGTGCGAGATGTGAGGGAAGGCTTACGGATGGGTTATGGTATGGCTATGGTTAGGGTTTGTTATAGTTTTTTTCAGGCTGAAAGGTGTTATAGGTTTATAGATTTGTTTTTTTGTGGAGTTAGATGTTGTAATTGCTTGGGTCTTAGGATTTAAGCGGAACGGGCCAAGAGTCTTGAAGGGTTGATTAGGGTTTAGGATATTATTGATGTACATAAAATCATATAGAAGTGTTTAGGGATCAATTAGGGTTTAGGAGAGAGAAAGTATGTGAACTCTATAAATTATTATTTTCGTTTATGGTATTTAACAACATCAACATGAGAGGTTTAGGGGTTTTGTATGGGTTGGAGAGAGGGAGATGAAGGTAAAATTTTGTTACATAAACAAAACAACTAGTATAAAATATTCTTGCCAAAAGAACTAGGGTTCAACCACCAAGCACAAAGCTCAGCAAGTGAGAATCTCCAATCAATGTTGAAGCTAAGACTAATTTAATTCATTCAATGAAGTACTTTTCATTAATTACTTGCCTGTAGAATAATTATGATTTACATTATCAACATATTTAGTAATGCTCATCTCTATTTGTTATATTTCATTAGCACGAAACTAAAAATATTTAACAAAAGAAATTGTAGAATCCAAAAATACACGAGTTACAATGTCTACTAGATCATATGATTTTTTTTTTGGTTAATAACTATACACTTTTTTCAGAGTGTCAGTTCGTATTAGTTTTGGAATTATTGCTATTATAAACAACCTCAAAATCAAGTAAAAAACAGATCTCAATTATTAGTCTTATTTTCAAGATATATGCTGAAAATTCCTGAAGTCCTATCAACATGTAAGATAATTCCCTTTTAGATTTTTTATTTTTATTCTCGCCTTGGCTACACTTGTAGCGTTGTGCCACTAGTCTCTTAACATCCCTCTTCATTGAGGATCCATACGACCAACTATTGGTGAAACTAATGATCTTGTATTTGTCAAAGTAACCATCAGTATCAATAAAATATAATTGAGTGATTAGAAAGTCTCTTAGTGATGTCCCAAAAATTCTTTACTTACCTTATACCGATAAACAACAATTATAATGAATGAAAGTATTAAATAAAATGTTCTTATCCTGTGTTCATAGAAAAAATATGGAAAGGCAAAATGTGGTAAGAGGACAAAGCAAATAATATTCTTTAGTTTCTTTCAGTGAGGACCTATCAAAGTTACTCTTTGTGATAGTAATGATCTTACCGTTGCCAAAATGATTGCCTATCCCTCTAGAATGTTACTAAGTGATCATAAACTCTTTTAAGGATGTCCTTTGAATACATTATTATTTTTTCCTTTTTATAGATAACTATCAATTATCATGTATACACATATTAAATATATTAGTCTGCTGTATGGTCATGGAAAAAATTTGGAAAATGGACAAAGGTTAATATTTACTTCTATAAAATCCAAGAATTTGTAAGCCTAAGAAAGTTATTACCAAAGCTATTTTAGATAATGCATTAGTTGGTTTCCTTTTCACGCCAGATTTGTGTTAAAAAAAATGAATAATCTTGTGGGAATTCAATCCCTTGGCATGTGGATTATAATTATTTTTTTTCTAACTGTTCATGAATTTTAGAACATAGTGATCAAAGTTCATAATAAATAAAAAATTTATAATAATTTTTTTTTTGCAAAAAAATTTTTTAGTACTTTAAAATTAAATATAAGAATAAAATTCTCATTCTTAAGTAGATTATTATTGCTTAATATCATTGAGTTATTCACTAAAGAATTAAATGTGATAATTTTCATGGCTAGGTATTCCTCTTTTACCTTTTCCAAATGTTTCATAAGTCACTTTCAAAGCCTTAAAAATTATAGTCTCAAAACAGGGGAGCAAGTCATTATAACTTCTATTTAAGGAATAATCTTTGCACTAGTTGTCCATGCTAATTTATTTTTCAAGTTGCGAGTATTAGGTGCTACTATAACACCAAATTTTCTAAAATAATTTCATATGGAAAGTAGTGGAATCATGGTTATGCTGGAAAAATTTGTCTTGGATTAATCATTGCTTTAATTTTTGAATGGTTTCAGTTTAATCTAATAGTTAATACAATAAATACTAAAATAACCTTTTTTCAATGAAGATTTATTTTTTTTCAAATTAACATATGGTTTTTTTTCTGTTAGTTTAGTAAAACCTAATTTGAGATTATCCATTATCCATATATATCCATATATATATATATATATATATATAACACTGTATATATATATATTCATTCTTATTAGTATTAAAAATAATGGTATCATTGAATTTCTCTAAGAATCTTTTAATGAAAAACTTAGGAACAAAAGTCATAAGTCCCTTGAATACGCTTGGCATATTGGATAAATTTTGATCCAATTCTTAGCCACTTCATAAATCAATTTTGAAAAACATAATTTGGCACTAGAAACTATATCATTTATATCATCTAATGAGAAAAGTATAATATGTATAGTAATTTTTTATATAATTTTATTGTCAACACATTTCCTATAAGGACCATCTTTATTAGGAGTTAGTAAAGCAGGTAAAACACATGGGCTAATGCTTTCTTAAATAAATCCTTAACAAGGCAATAAATCTACCACTTTTTCAATTCAATGTGTTCATAAAATTTGGTAACTAAGAAACAAGCACTAAATATATCACTTTTTGTTTGTTTAAGAGGTAACTCATCAGGTAAATCCTTTAACCGAACATTGTTGAAGTTAATCAATAGTTTTACGATTACAGTATGTATGTATCTCATTAAGCATACGAACAACTTCCTCAACTTCCTTCACATGGAGTAAGTAAAGCGAAGCCAGATTAAAAAAAAAAAAAAATCTCTTTCAAACTCACAAAAGCAACCTCTAATATCCTAAAATCAGGTTTAGTCTTGGGTGTAATCATTGTATTAACAATATAATCTACAATAGCAAAAGCATAAAATATCTCCCTAGTAGATGAGACTCCAATCACTAGAAACTGTACTTTGTATTTTTCTTTTGACCATGCATGGTCTTGACATCAAAGCTAGGTTTTGTGGTGTTGGCGGTGAAGGGTTGTCTATTTCCTTGAATGGGACTTTATGTTCTTGTTCTGGTGTTCATATTCTTATAAGTACTCTCAAACATAATATTTCACATTCATATTATAAATCTAAGGTCTTGCTAATAAGGTTTGTGATTCTCTCAGCTTACGTGGTAGGGCTTATGATAGGGTTCAACATTTATAAGCTTATCCTTGCAAGTGTGTTGGTGGTAATAAAATTCATGGCACTTCTAACCTTCTATTGCCAATGTACACCTCTTCTCACTACGTGCAACATTCATGGTAAAATTGTTCTTCCTCTTTATTCTTGAAAACCATCCATAGTTACTGCTAAATAACTCATCACACAAATTTGCTTTTCATCATTATTTTAGATGTTATTAAGCAGTGGCGTTTCTTTATAAACTTACTCAACATCATTATCATCAAAGTTATTACTTCATCTAAGAATAAAATATATGCTTAGTATTGATTTTACATGAATCTTTTCTTGTAACACTTTGCAACAATCAATCTTCTTATGGTTCTTAATGCTATTTCCTATGGCCTTTCCAAGGTTCTGTTTTTTTGCTAAGGTGCTATAGGTGTAGCACCAGTAGGCTTGTCGGTAGGAAAAGAGGTATGCTGCCCTCTGGGTTTCACAATGGACACAAATCTTTCGATTTCTCAATCACTAAGACACAGTAAAAGTCATCTTCCGGAGTTTATGGGCAAAGAAAATGGGAACTTCAATCCTTATCTGCTTTCTATGATTAATGATAAATTTGTTGGCTCGTTTGTCATTACTTGTCAGCACAATTTGGCGTCAAAACTAAATCCTCAGCAGTATTCCAGAACTTAATCACTTGTAGATTTCCTTGCCTAAGAGTAAATAAGTGGCCTGCACTTTCTATTAAGGTGCATGGGTTATAGTGCTCGTAATCGTTGTTTTCATCTATACTCAAGTTTGATTTGTTCTATCATTCATTTCATTTGTTACAATATTCTTTTCACTAAATTTTTGCATGCCTAACTAATTTCATCAAGGCTAGAGCTACTCTTTGACGGTTATCCATATTTTACCAATAAAAAAGCTCATCTATTTGAGCAAATTTATCTAAGAATT